TGGTCCTAGCGATATTGGCAGTGCAGTCTACCGGTTTCGTTTTGAATTGTTCAACAATAACGTGGGAAGATCCTTTCGCTGCTTACGTTCGCTTTTGCTGCTAGATTGCTGTAGAATTATCTTTGAATATTTTTATAGAGCCCAGTATGTTGATGCCTTAAAAATGATACGTGTTAATGGCCTATACTCTATAATATTATACTTAAAGGAATAGCCCATTAAACTGTCAAAGTTAACAAAATTACTTATTAAATATTTTAATTAACTAATTAAAATTTATAAACATGTGTGATTTTGATTAAAATTTACAAATATTAAAAATAATGAAGTTGTGGTTTTTTCGTTCAATTTGTAGAAACTATGATAATGACAAATAATTAACTCGTCATTTTTCTCTCAGTTGTTAAAAAAAATTTCCCAAACCTTCAAAAATGCCCGTAAAAATCACAAAAATAATGATGCTAAATAAAAATTAGTTGTACCTATTTAGTATTTTCTCCTGTCAGATATTGAAACACATTCTAAGCTAGGAAAGCAACGTCTACGATGTTCCAAAAAAATTAGCAAAAGTCATCAACATCCGAGCTCTAGATATTATTAAGGCAAGGTCGCTTGTAAGGTGGTGGCAAAATGTGGCTGTGCGCCCGTGCCCCCCTCCCTCACGGCTATTTAGATGATATACGTTGTACATGGATCATGGACTAAAATTTACTATTTGCAAAATTTTTTTTTTAAGTAAGATGTAATTTTTTTTTTAAACTTTTATTTGTAATACTCACACAATCAGTAAAATTCACTAATCTAATCTAATAATTTTATTATTATATTTTTATTTACAATAAGCGCATGAATGATAAAATGGTACGGATTACATGTAAAATGTAAATGGCCGATAGAAAGAAGCCACCCGGTTAAGATCAGAAATAATCCAAATTAAAACAACCCCCTCCCCTCTCCTTGAAATATTGCTACGGGTGGCCTTGTATCGAGGTAGATGTGTTTCTAAATATAAAAATAATAGGATTCGTTAAATAATTTATCCATCATGGATAATATGATTATAATAATATATAGGTATGAAGTATATTATGATATAATCATAATTTAAAATATTTTCAGTGATACCTATATAGAAGCGTGGTAAATAAATTGCCCAATCAGAGCCTTGTTGAATAATAATAGGTATATTATGATGCCAGTGCAAATAAAATAAACTCAGCTAGGTACTTGAAATAATCACCAAATATTAACATTTGTAGAAAGATATTACTATTATATTCAAAATGTCGTGGCCCTTTTTGAACTTCTTATAGCCGATTGCAATATCAGACTTTTATTAGTTTTTTTTCTTTAGATACAAGTTGGTGCAGTTACATGATATAAAGGATATCCGTTGGATAACACATTTTTTTCGGTCAATAAGCTTAAAAATGTAATACAAAGTTCTTCATAAATTGATCTTACTGATTTCTAAAAGTATCAAAAATACCTACATACCACGCACATTTTAGATTCTTAACGGACCGACGATAGTATTGATTTTACAATGATATGTGTGTGCGTTCATGTTTTATAGTGGAAAAATAACTTTGAAATTCAACTACCTAATGTATTATAAATTAAAACACGTCGTAATATTGGCTATTATGTATCATTGTATTAATTAATATTAATGATATTATGAATCTTAATAATAACGTGTCATGTGTGAATATTTATTGTTTTCAAAATATTTAGTTCAATCATTCATAGAACATGATGTATAATTGCTTTAAGATAATCTTTTTTTTTTGATTCCATTCAAAAAACCTATGAGGAACTGTGTATTGCGTTTTACGTTTGAAATGTTGAATATTAAACATTTTATGAAGTTTATATGCATAATAATTTGCTCTGCTCAAAATTTAAAATATAGTAATATTTATGATGACCCTAGGTACTAATAAAAAAAACTGAGAGGATAGTGTTCTAGACACATAATTTTGTTATTCAAAATAGATATTTCTATAATAGTTATAAAGTATCCAAACAATTATAATAATAATTGCAGTATAGGTATCTTAATATAAAATAATTTTATTCGACTGCAGTTATTCTGTTTGTAGGGTTATGAAAGGTTTTCATTTATGTACTCGTCAATATCGTTAACAAGCACAATATTTTAATATTCTATTTGAATTTGGAATTATCTTGTATTTGTATACATATTAGATAGAAATAATATAGAATATAATATTACTTATTCTAATTGTATGTTCAAATGCGATTCTCCCCTTACTTGTCTATTGAGGTCTTATCTCATAACTCATTCTCTTTATCCATCAAAGTTTCATCAGCTTTCCATTGTTTCTACTTTCATGTTTTTGTTATTTTATAATGTTGTAAGTATAATAATATGTTATGTTATCTATGAAAAATAAAATTGTTAATTCAATTAGGCATTTGCCCGTAACGTTACTAAATAAGTAAATTGAAAAATAAACATATAGGTAGGTATGTAAATTCATAAAAAAAAAAAATCGTCATTAACATATATTCTAAATACGTATTTAATGTAATATTGTGTAGGAAGAGGTATAAAAATATAATGTAAGTTCGTAGATATAAAGCAGTGTTGTACAGTGGGGGTTATGGGGATGGATCCATTTTTTTTTTTAATATTCTGTACCTCAAGGAAATCGGAAATGTATTTTGACCCGACCAATGATGCGTATTTCTATAATATAAAAAAAAAACACGCTGTAGTTGTAGGTACTTGACAGTTACAGTTGGCATACAGTTGGCTGTTCAAACGACAAGTAATGTCAATAACTAAAATAGTAATTAATTCTGACTGAGAAAATAAACATGAGATATTCTAAATAGGTATGTATACTATTTATTATGTACAATCAATATCTAGGTAGGTAATCAATTATGGATAGCCGGATAGGTATCCACATATTTATTTTTAAAATTGTATAACAGAAAGATCTGACAAATGAAATAACTTTTGTTCTAACCAATATTTAAAATTTTTTTTTTATATGCATAATTTATAGACGATTGTGGCATAAGTAAAGTAAAACAGTTTTTATTTTTTTGATACTAAAAATAAAATATTTTAAAGGTTGTTAAATTTTTTTTTGGAAAAATTAAAAATAGCCAATTTGCCAATAGCTAATTGTTGGATACATTTTGATGGCAAAAACCTTTAGATATTTAAGTCAAGTTGTTTATTTATTACAATAATTTCTTAAAATATCAATATTTTTCTGGAGTAGATAAATTTGAAACGCAATACATTTTTTCAAAATAATTTGTTTGAAAATTTACTGACATAGGTAATAGTATATAATATTTTCTTAAATTATTTATTATTCATTAAATGGTCATAATTGTTGTCATACGTTTAATTATAATATCAATTATTTATTTTTATTTGGCAGGTCTGTCTGTTAAAATGTGTATATGATATTTACCAAGCGATAATAGTTTGCATCTCTAGAATAAGATGGCCACAACTTACAACTACTTTCGAAAAGTGAAAAATTAGAACTATTGAATGCATGAACGCCACATTTACTATAATTTTTCGTTTTGCCACCAAAAATAAGGGTTTGTATTGTATTATTGAATTATTTTAGATACTTTTTAAACCAACTGAGCTATACTTAATATGGCAGTATATTATGTTATTTATGATTTATCCAATTAATCATTGGAATCAAAATTCAAGACAGCCTTATTTCGATTTGTGGCGTTCTTGCGCTAAATAAAAACTAATTTCCGTGTGGTTTGTTGAGTGGAAAACAGCAATGTTTATTGCTATGACGGTTATACATTTCATAATTTGTGATATTGCAGCTGTAATGTGAAAAACGTCAGTCTTGTAATTTCAAATAGACATTTTTTTACTGCCACGTGTCGAATGATGACGGTCTTGCATTCACATAAAAAAAATTAATAGAGCCATGAGTGTAACTTTTTGGATTTAAGAGAGTGTTTCATAGTATTTAGATAATAAAGTCATAGTGTAAAATATGTTTATAAGTAGGTATTTATACATTATTTACATAATGCATAGGTAATGAATTTCTTAAGAAATCTTGATTTTTAAAATACTTAAAATCGATTTTTATCAAAGCTATAAATTTGAGTTGTGACAGACTTGTTCTAGACGTAGTACCTACGAGTTATACTGTGTATAGCGTATACTTACATAATAATATAATATATGAATACGGCATACGCCTATAATATACGGATGAGTACCGGTTTTTAGCATACCTATATAGATTCACACTCTGATTAAGAAATAGGACGTGGCACAGCAGGACTTGATTTGAATAACTGGTAGGTTAATACATTTTGATTTTATTTCGACCAAATAGTTAAAACAATGTGATCTTTTAAAACAGAAAACACGAAAGCCTAGACAAATAGAAACGAAATTAAAACTAATTTAGAGAAACATATAAGACAATCATTTTTTAAACTTTAATTTATAATATAAGTACGAACTTTAAAAATGTAAATTACTGGAAACCATATCCAAGAGATAAAATATTTTATTTTATAAATCTTGAAACACTGACTTGACTTGTTCTTTCATTTTTGAATGTCAACTCCGATAGAGATTATTTTGTAATAATATTAACACATTCATGAGCGACACTATCTACTATTTAGTCACCGAAAGAAAAGGTTTCAAATTTAAACAAATATTTTTATCACAATAATTTATATATTCGTACATATTACATTTACTTATTCTATAGTTTAATTATTTTGTTCTATTATAATATTATATAGTTATTGTTTCGTGTTAAAGTTTTCAATACGAAAACTTCACCATATTAAATTAATTATAAGTATGCAGTATTTCGATAATTATGAACTAAATATTATATAAGTTATAGATTTTTATGATAATTTTGATTCTAAATAAAACAGAGGAAACTGGCTATGTAATACTGAAGTACCTATAAGAAGTGTCAATATATTATTAAAGCATTAATATGTGCATTCCACAAGAGAAGTATTCAAATAAAACACAACTGAAAAATACTAGTCCAAATTATACGCTATTCTACAGAATATTTCAGGTAAGTATCTACTTATTTTACTTAGTCTTAATGTTTAATCGTTTTGGTTTTATACATTTTAGTTTATTGGATTGTTACTAATATGTTCCGTATACTATTGGATTATTAATTATCGGGGTGGATTTAGTTTAACTAAAGCTAAATTAATACCAAACTGGCATCCAATATTCATGACAATTGTTTTAATTTATTTATTTGCAAATGGTAAGTTTATTATTAATTAAGATATTATCAATTAAATAAAAAAAAAAAATCTCTCCTCTTAAAGCGTTATTCTTTAAGATTGGTTTTTGATCCTAAGTGTTGAATCATCATAACTTATAATTATTAATACCTTAAACATTTTTAGAAGTGGTATAAATGAATAATATTTTCGATATAGAACCCTACTTAATAATCTTATTTATTTTTTTTAGATGTATTGTATTGGTCATTTGTCATGACTATTATATCAACTAAGCTTAGGTTATATATTTATATCGTTTTTACATCAGATGATCGTATTAAATAGTTATGTAACTACATAGTTAGATAATTAGATTCTACAATTTTTATTGTTTTTACTTCAGATAGCATTAAATAGTTATGTAACAACTACATAGTTTTTTTTTTTTAATAATGTTTTTTATTTTTATTTTTATTAAAAGAATAATAAAAGAAAAATGCTGCCCATGACCGAGGTATCGAGCCAGTGTCGGCTGCGTCGTAGCCGACGCCTTAGACCGCACGGCCACTCCGTCCCCCAATAAATAATTTTGTTGAGTGAAAAAGCAATGAATATAACAGAGTGAACAGAGTGGGAAGGTACTCAGTAGTACCACCCGACAAACTACATAGTTAGATCATTAGATTTTAAAATTAACAGGTTACAATGCTATAATTATAGGCACAAACATTTTAGATTTTGAGTGGAACGATGAATGTATTGATTTTGATTTAGATGTTTGTTTTTTATTTTTTTTTTTTGTGTCTGTGTACACTATAAGTAGTCGAAATAATGCTTCGATTTTCAACTTCAGTATCTTGTTCGATTGGAAAGTCAATCTAGTTGGTTCATTAGGAAGGTCAAATATTAATTAATTCCCAATAGTTTTCACAAGCATCGGGATTAAACACATAAAAATTAAGGAATAACCGGAATTTTTACGCAAAATTTGTTTTCCAAAAAAACTTTAAAACAAATGAACGTATATACATGAAATTTTTACTGGTTGTTTATATTTGCATTTTCTATACACGATAAAATTTTTAAAATATTATGATTTGTTTTGAACTGTTTAGGGACATTTTCATTTTTCATTTTTTTTTTAGTTTTTATTCTAAAAATATCAATACAATTTTATTTGTTGATTTCAAAAGCCTGACAATTTAATAGAAGGCTCCTTGATATTGTTTCAAAGGCAGATGAAAAATATTAAAAATCCTTAGTTACAATTTTTTTTTATAAGCATTTAAAGTTCAAAAATTGACAAAATATCAAATATGGAAAAATCACGAAAATTAGCAAATTATTTTGTGTTAAGAATTCGTAAAAATTTTTCTTTTTAAATCTAAGATTTTGACAAAATTTATCATTTTAAAATTGAATAATTATTTTTTAGTTAAAAATTTATAAAATGTTCAACTTTTATATCTAAGGATTGAAAATTTAAAACAAGATTCCACGTAAGTAGTTAATTCTGTTACCAAAAAATCTAAAAAATACACTATCACAGTTTATTTTTATAGTCATTTTAAGTTCAAATTGTGGATGAAATTACATAAAAAAAACCTAGAATAACTATTTTAGTTATTTCGTTGTGATTGTATAATATTATTCGTGGGTACTTGAAATTTCTAAAGTACACTATTATATATCTATGATAGTATCAGTGTTTGTTGTTGATGTATAACGCGTTATAAGTACCTAATGGATATTGTGATATGATTAATTTGGAATTTATTATAGGTACCTATTACAGGTCAATTTTTCTTAATACCATAGATAAGTATATCATATGTCTTATACATAGACAGACATATCGTCTCCGCTCAGAATCTTTTTTCTTATACGATGATATTATATCATTGAATTCAAATTTAATATCATCCATTATACAGTGACCTAATTGTAACCTACTGTACAGCAGAGCACCTTTTTTTTAATTGTTTACAATAACATTATTTTTATTTATTTTTACAATAATAAGTAAGGCAGGTCGGTAAAGCTATAGGTCGGTGGGATGATCACGTTGGAGTGTGTGTCTGTTAAGACGGTCATTCAGCCTGTAGTATTGATGACCAATTTATTGCTTAGCATAGCTGATGACTGAAGAAGCTGAAAAAAGTTCTCTTATGCGTGGTGTTTTATTGTTGGTATTTTGAAATCTGTGAGCAGAACACAGACCATAAGCCCTCAAAAACTCGAACGCTATTTTTGCTTATTGAGGAGAGTATCGTTTCAAACAAAGCAGGGAGAATTTGAATTTTGGACTTTGGACTTGCATTTCGTTGATGTGAGACATGGCTCATTTTCCTTTGGTTTTCCCGAATTTTTTGATAAAATATAATAGATATGTTCAATGTTGACCTCTCAAACAATGTCAAAAAGATCCAATTTGGTATCATAAACCACCCTCAAAATAGAAAACAAAAGCATATTTTCTATTACTTACTGTGTGTACAGATACAAAAAAATCCATTCATAAGTATCATTATAAAATCAATACATTCATTAATCCGCTTAAAATTGATAAAATCACGCTGTAATTTCTAAGACTCAATTTTTATAGTTAACATTTTATTATTTTATTTATACCTTATTTTACTGCTATACTATAACAGTATTTTTAATGTTATTTTAGCTATTCTTCACTATCGTTCATTTCGGGATACAAAACGAAATTTGAAAAACCAACATGCAATTTTTTTCGGTTGCATAATAATCATCTTAACAGTTGCTGGCATAGCTACTCTGGGTTCGAAGCGATTTAGACCTTTATTTACTAATCCTGCGATTCCTAATTTATATACTTTACACAGTTGGTTAGGAATTATTACTATGGCAATGCTTCTACTTCAGGTCAGTTTACTTAATAGACACTAGTATAATATGTGATGTGCATAATCTATAAATAATATTACTATACTTTGTTCATGCATAAATTGTTGAATTTTTTTATACATTTTTAGTTTGCAAGTGGATTATGGATTTATTTATATCCCACAGTAGCTGACCAATATAGAGAAATTATGATGCCTTATCACGTTTTCTTCGGGGTATCGAGCTTTGTATTAGCAATTGCATCTGGTGGATTAGGATTCTGTGAAAAAATGATTTTTTCATTGTATATAACATTATATCAGGAGCGGTAATATAATATATTAAAACTGTGTATTTATTTTACAGGTATAGAGAATACGAACAATTTCCAGCGGAAGGTATAATCGGTAACTGTATAGGTTTATTATGTATTTTGTACGGTATTTTAGTGGTTTATATGGTCACCAAACCAGAATTCAAGAGATGTCCTGCACCAGAATATCAGCCATTAATCTAGTATTAGAAATTTAAAAATATTATGAAGTTTCACTAAATTGTTTTTTTTTGTTTTATGTGTATTTTATGTGTATAATCAATAACTAAACTTCTAAAAAAATAATGATTTATGAAGTGTCATATTTTTTCTTCATACATTTCAAACATGTATTTACGACCAGTGTTGTACCTATATATAGATAAATAAAAATAACGTATACGAAGTGGTCAAATGGAATTATATATATATTGATAAAGATAAATTACTTTTTATGGAAATTTAAATTCACTAATTATTTATTAATTATTGTAAGTATAGAAAAATCCGTATAACAAAATAAATACAATCTGCTCAGAAACATGACAAGTCTCAAATTATGTTTTAGGATAATTAAAATATATATTGTAAATTATTATTGATATCAATTGAAAGTGCATGTGAGAACTGCAGCTATTTTCTCCAAACATGCTAATATATAAGAAATTATGCTATGAAATAACTTTTACGAACAACTGGTCTATTACCTATGTAATTTTATATAATTTCGTCATTGCAATAGGTAGGTACAACATTTTTAAAATTTTTCTATTGTTAATATATTTTAATTTTTTACTTTTTTAAATAACAATGAACATTTTTAATTTTATATTCCGAAGCGAAATTTTTTTTGTGCTGTTTGATGTACAAATGTTGAATTTCGAACGTGTTGCTTATTAGGTAGTTAATATTGGGTCTTTATTATTAGGTCCATTCTAAACAAGTAGAAAAAAAAATATCACATCCTCAATACATGGGTTTTCCTGTAATAATGGCATAATGATAACTGATAACAATAGCCACGCAGGCCAATCTGTATATCCGATCTGACCGTGTGCGCGTCGGCCTCGTCACTTCGATGCGTCAAAACAATTTCGGCCATCCTGTAAACACGCATACACAGCCATAATAATAATGATTTCTAGTGGCAGAACGTAGGTTATAATAAGTTATATAATAGCAATTAATTTATATTTATTGTAAATACCATTGCTGGTGCACTAGCATGACGTTTAGGATTCGATTGAAAAACGATAAAAACCTATAATACTGTAACAGACAACTTATTTGCTCCGCAGTCGACGCCGATATGATTAATATTATATTATTGTGCTTGACATTATAAAATATCGTACTGTTCAGGTCAAGTTTGTCACGTTTCACACGCGATTAGAGTGTCAAGTTCAAAGTTGAATATTATAATACCTTCAACGGTATAAGCTAATACCAGCAATTATCGAAATGAACGCTTCGATGACGACTACCGTTTTGATCTCGACAATCGTTCTGATTTTGTACGCGAAGACCGCTAGTTGTTGTGTAAGTGATTTTTTTTTATAGATTTTAATGCTCCGATCACTATATTATAGGGGAAAGTAGGTATCACCGGACACCGAAAGAAACGAAACGTAACTCTCGGGAAGTGGCGGATTTAACAGTCGTTTAGTCAGCCCACCAAAATTTAATTTTGTTTGAATATTTATTACAAAAAGATAAATACAGTTTAAATTGCAAACTGCAATATCGTCTACCATTGTTAGGTTAAGTTAATAAAAACAACTGTTTCGTGAGTATGTTATCGATACATTTTGTTGATTTTATTTGAACACTTAAATCTGCCACTCCTCTCAGGTAGAACATATCAACTTGCATATTATTATATTATTAAACGGACGAATAATCGCAGTCGTATTATTATGTGGACAATGTACATTCTAGCAATATAAATTTATTTTCTTCAAAATCATTATGCGGGACTCTTCATTGAAATAAAAACCTTTTTAAATTTTTATTGTGTACTAGCGATAATTATTTCGTGATGCTTTTTTGATAAAATAATATTCAATTAACATAAATATGTTTTTGGGTAGGTTAGTCATTTTTTTTTACTGAACGATTTTCGTAACACTTATAACATTTATTATTGTTAACATATTATGGTAATCCTCCCCTCAAAATCATATTTATGATTCGTTGATTTTCCTTACAGAGGAAAAATATCAAGTACCATGTTACGTTTCTTCATCCTAGGACTGGTTATTACATGTACCTACACATATTTTGCTGATGTTCATCGTACATTCAAGTTGTTCTTATCTGTCTATCGTAACCTTCGGGACAGTAAAAATCCTTTAATTTTATGCATGTGTACTGCATAATACTTTTATTACGAGCTCAGTATTGTTTTTCTGATTTAACCTTTAAACTATAAAATATTAGATTAATTAATGAATATCAGAATATTATCAATTATATTACTTTGGGGATTATATTTTTTTTCAATAAAATTTCTAGGTAAAATAAATATAAAATAAAAATCACGAAAAGTCAAGCATGGTGGCACAGTGGCACTCAGATCGCTTAGGCTCAGTGTAAGAATACAGAGCAGGGTCACTATAATATCAGAATATACGTTCGGGTTAACCAAAATGTTTTATTCGGGTTTCGGCTAATTCGGGTGTTTTGAATACAAAATCATGCAGGTTATATATGGGTTTCGGGTGTTTGATTTTTTAAGGGTTTTAAGGGGTGTTAGGGGTTCCAGTTAATTCGGGTGCTAAGCCCTGATCTAAACATTATTAGCAAATCAAATCACGCGGTGTATAAGTATATATGGTTGTTCAGCAATATGTGTAGAACTGAGATCGAATATTAGAGTATAGTGAGATGAAATTCTAAAGAGAATAGCTGCGGGGAGGTCGGGAGCTTCAAGTGAACCGTTGAGGATCAAAGATTATCGGGCATGTACCAGTTGTCCCCAACCGAATGTACCAGTTGCCCTCATATGTAAAGTAAATACTGGGTGATTCTTTTATCAAACAACACTCATTATTTCAAAAAGTGTAAATTTTTTTGAAAATATTTTTTTACATAGTTTCAAGTCGCTTATAAAACAACGTTTTTATTAAAAAATTATATTTTTAATTATTTTTTATCCTTATAATTTTTTAAGTTTTTTACTTTTTTGAATGACAACATAGGGTTTTAATTTTATATTCTAAAGTAGAATATTTTTCTTAGTATTTTGATACATGAAAATTGAATTTGGGGTGAGTAGTTTATGAGTTATAAGTAATTAAAGTTTAGACGAGCGGTGAAGTGGACAAACATTTCGCGGGGTAACCCCGAACCACTCCACTCCGCTCGTCTAAACTTTAAATACTTATAACTCATAAACTACTCAACCAAAATTCGATTTTCATGTATCAAAATACTAAGAAAAATATTCTGCTTTGGAATATAAAATTAAAACTCTATGTTGTTATTCAAAAAAGTAAAAAACTTAAAAAATTATAAGGATAAAAAATATTTAAAAATATAATTTTTTAATAAAAACGTTGTTTTATAAGCGACTTGAAACTATGTAAAAAAATATTTTCAAAAAAATTTACACTTTTTGAAATAATGAGTGTTGTTTGATAAAAGAATCACCCAGTATATATAAGATTTCAATATATAGCCCTTAAAATAGAGGAGGTATATAAATATACAAATAATAATAGTAATAAATAGTAATTATTATAACAAAACATAGTACCTGCAATCTGCATAATATTATATCTAATTTTTTTACTATTTTTTTTTTTTTTTGACAAATTATCATTTTCATTATAACTATATTATTTATTATGGATTTTTTCGATCATTTTATACCAACTATTTTTTTGTTGAAAACATTTAACATTGAATGTCACATAATTATAATATTTGTTTATTTATTTTATTGACTATTGTATTCATATTATTTTGTTAGAAATTATTATTTATTTCTATCATTTTATACTATTTTAAATAGTTTTATTTATTATTTGTATATTTACTTCCCCTATTTTAAGGGCTAAATATTGTAATCGTATGAGGGCAACTGGCCTGGTACATTCGGTTGAGGGCAACTATTGTAATCGTGTATATATTTACATATGAGGGCAACTGGTACATTCGGTTGAGGGCAACTGGTACATTTGGTTGAGGGCAACTGGTATATTTTTAAAATCCTGATAACAGCCGTGGGGGGCAACTGTTCAACACCCAAGATTATCAAATCAACATAGATACGCTTCTTTGTGACGAGCAGCTAATGTGGGGTGGTTTATAACCTGTCGTATAGATGGGTGCAAATGTTTAATAATGTGGAGCGTGTTGAATGTTGAGTGTAAGAACTGAATGTAGCAAAATTCAAAAATTTGTTTTGGACTCCTAATAATTCATCTTTAGCTGTGTATGGGTACCTCACTATACTTCACTGTAGGTATTTACTATTTAAGCAACGATTGAACAAGATCAAAAAATAAAGAGCTATTTTATTATTATTATTAGAACAATAATTACAAACGATCATGCGATCGGGAACCAATTGTTTTTCTTTAGATTATGCTTTTATTACCATTCATAAATATCTCAGGGGTTCTTAATGATATATTATGGTGTTACTGCAATATTGAGCGTGATAAAATTGAACACAGACACATGTGTGCGATCAGCGTGGATAAGCGCAATGGAAATTGAGCTAGTTGTAAGACAAACGTCTCCATTTCTATACTTACATTATATTATATATTTGTATGTAGGTACTTTATCTGATATTTATGGAATAGGTAATCTGTATAGACCGTGGTACAGTATCAGTGTTTAGTTGCCTGTTGAAAAATAAATAATTTGAGTCAATATTTTAAACGCAGTGCATCCGTCTGTACGTATGGACATTTATCGACACCTAAAAGCAAGATGAGAAATTAAAACGAATAAAAACGCATTGGTTTATTTCTGGTTATGTTATTAGTCAACACTAAAAAGTATAGAGAATATAGATTGAGAATTAGACAAATTAAAAATATATCTGACCAGTAATAAATTGGGTTATATTTGAATATAGGTCGTTCGACCTTTTTTTATTTAATCACATTTGTAATATGTCAACAGACTATTAAATACATATTGTAAATGTATATTTTGTTCTATAGCTAATGGTTTATTTTTATTTATTATTGGCCATTTTTTTTGTGAATCTTTTTGCTTCTTTTAATTATGGTCCGGCAGTTTTCAAGTGTATTTTACCTATATGTGTATTTTAAGGCGCACTTTTCTTTTTATACTTAGCGTGACCCTGCCGACTCGTTGGATATACATTAAACGCAACTATTAAATCTGATCATTGAAATTATTAATATTATATTTGTTTTGTATTTTAAGATCGTTTATAGTATGTATAGTCACGAAAGTTTTAAATGTTATGTATGAAAATTTGGTTTTTGTATTTCATATATTTTCCAAACAAATGTAATAATTTTAATTGTTTCCAAAACGTTTTCATAGCACTCAAATTGTGTATCTATAGGAATAGAATTTTTAATATTTTAGAAGTTTATGAAAAAGATTTGGAGGAGCAAAATAAAATAAAAGTATATACCAATTAATACTACACGGATCAAACATTTTTTGTCTGATGGGATATATATAACTATACATTTCGCTGTTATTGTGAGTTGTGACGATGTAAATGTGATAGTGCGAGGGGAACGGGTCCACGCTCGAATACGAATATTCAGTGGCCGACGACCAATATTTATTTAATAATATTATCCATTTTTACCAGTGAGATAATGTTTATATTTTGTAATTTGTGTAGGGTGGTTACGAGTTAGAAGTCGATTACATTAGAAACTGCGGCTCGGAAAACATTGTCGAACTGTCCGATAAATTTTCCGTCGACATGAAACCTAATTGCGAAATATATGTCAACGGATGCTACACCGCTCACGCCAACATCACCAGCGTCATGGTAAATATAATTTTTTATTTTTACGCGAAAAATTTGTTTTAATTCGTTTTAATTTTTTAAATAATTTAATAACTGTGGGCACTTACATACGTAAAAAAGTTCCACAATTTAAAATAGTGTTTATTATACAGCGTGTGTTCAACGATAAAGGTAATTGAAATATTTCGAACACATGACGCTGAATTTCATTTGGGTTTTTTTTACTGCATAAAGGTCTTAATATTAAACCTTTTTTGAAAAATTTACAAAAAAATTTTCCTTTTCTCCCTTGTAGTATCCAAGTTTGAATTACTTTACGTATTTTAAGCAATTTTGACCTATAGAGTTTTTACCCATTTTAAAATTGACTTGAAGATTTGATTTTTGTAATTTTTAGTATATTTAAGATTTTAAACATGATGTTTTAAAATAAATAGATGTTATTACTGATCCAAACTTATTTTTTTTTTATCAACAACTGAGAACTATTAAATTTTTCCTAGATAAATGCAAAACTCGATGCATCAGATAAATCGAAAATCCAATTACCTAGTGGTTTCCGTCTTTCCTAGTTATTAAGCTTTTATGAATATAGCACACAATTCTATAAAAACATAATTTACTATTCTGAAGAAAAATGATATTATAATGTGATTGTACTTATTCGTTTTGAAATTTTAAACCCTAAATTCACTACACGGTTAATTTTTTCTGCTAAATGTATTCATAATGCCATAGGTACCGAGGGTGCCATATGTTGGCATTCATATAGGTATAATATTATTATGTACTTATAATGTATATGGTCAGGTTTAAGACTCCTATAAACACCATCAGTTTTTTTATCAAAACGACCTTTAACGACTGTCAAAAATTGAGGTTCTATTAGTGGTTCGATTTAAAAAAAAAAAACAATATATTTTTGATTTGATAAAGAAGTTGACTTGCATCTCTCGTATAAAATAATATAATATGTATTTGATATTTTAAATAGTTTTTAATATTTTTTAATATAAAAAATTGAAAAAATACTTCTACCTATGCAAAGTTATCTTGTTTATGCATTCGCATACATCTTTTCATTTTTTAAATCCTTTGGAAATCCTTTGGACGTACTTAAATTTTAAGCCAAGCGTATTGTTATTTTCACGTCCATGGATTTATGCAGAAATTGATATTGAATATTTTGATCTAATGATTAAATTACATGTGCACGCTTGTGCATATAATGTATGATTGTTGGGGTGTATACACACACTAATGATCATTTACTACACACACAGAGACGAGCAGTGACCGCAGCGAACGAAAGAGTTGTCTAAACACAACTCCTCAAAAACGACATACGTATATACAGGGGCCCTAGTATATTATAATCAACAGGATTCAAAAATCATAATATACTCTTCATTCCTTAGGTATAAATTGTATAATGGCATTTGTTCAAATAATCTGATTTTTGTAATTTTTAAGTAGCATATTATATTTACAAAGATCATAATTCATAACTACTTAGTATCTAATATTAATTAAATAGTAAATTTACACAGCTACACGTGCTGACTTTTCCTGCGAAATGTAATCGCAATGCCATAAAATATAGTATAGGTACCGGCGTTGAAATGTTGCCACGCTTATGGGTATAATAATAATAATATGTAGCACGTCATGTGATATGTGTATATTATTATGTGCACCGTTCGTATACGCAATAATTCAAATCGTATAATATATGCGTATCGGAAAAAAAAAATTGAATTATGAAGGTTTTTAAAGCCAACATCAGGATTCGATTTCGTTTTGATAAAATACGAATATAAACATATATTACGCCTTTGTGCACAATTTAATCGTTACGCACCGGTCGCCGCGAGTATAGGTAGGTATATATAATATTTCCTGTACCTGTCTATAATCACCTACCGACTGCGTGTGTGTTTTTTTTTGTGTCGGAATTTATTCTATTCGAACAGTATTTTACTTCACGTCATAAGGCATAATATGTAATATTTTATGGTTCACGAGGGTTTGACATTTCGCGAATTCGTCAAATCTTCGTGAATCACGCGAGCCTCCCGGCGGAGAAGTAAATACTGACGTAGGTACCTATATATTATGTAAATACATAGAGGTAGGTAATAATAATAGTCGAATCGGTGCGGAAAAAGAACCGCATAACAATAGCGATACATAGGTAAGAGGGACCACCCGGTCAGGGGACGCACCCCGCAAAAAGGACTTGTGCAATAAGCACCCCCGAAAAATAAAAGCCATTTTCTATGACGATCTAGGTCTTCAAGTTTTGAGCTGATCCATTGCTATTTGTTCAAATCAGCCCCGATTTAAAAAGTCCTCGACTGTATGCAAATAATATTGTGATCTGTAATGGCGTTATTGATTTGGGTTATCGCGAGAGAGTGCGGTCCATCACTGTCCATGTCGTCCTGGTCTAGTAATAATAATTTAAATAGATAAAATTTACTGGACGGAAAAATAACATTAAAATAGTTTATAAACAATTTAATTTAATTAAGCTGTAACTATTTGTCTATTCCACTCATATTAAAACAAAGTAAGTACCTATATAAATATCCATTTGAAATTATTGTTAATATAATTTACATACTTTCAATTATCATTTAGATACAGACAAATTTTCTTTAGAAATAAGAAAGTATCTAGATACAGATGCAAGTATCTTAATATGAATTTAACAAAACCAATTATTTTCTTCTTAAATATTTGACAATATACTAAAAATATAATCATAAAATCAAAGTAAATCAAATAATACATTATTTAAAATACAATTATTTTTATAATTTGTACAACTATTGTTAATGTATAAATGTATAAAATAGAGTGTACCTGAAAAATTCACATACTTAGTATATTTTTGTTAAATTAATATAGTAATAATTGTCTCTTAAGAAGTATCTCAGATGACAGGTACCTACTCGTTTAAGATACACAATATTTTGTAGGTATCTAGATATTCCATTACAGCACTGCATACAGTGTTAAGGGTCTGAGGGTCTTTTGGTCTGGGAACTCTTTACATTGTGTGCATAAAGTCCTAAAAATATTTGTCTAGTAGGACAGTAGGTATAGGCAAACTCAAAGTATTAACTGGGTCGAAAAAAAACATTTTATATCAATTTTTAATTTTATTCGTTATGAACACTACCGGTACAATTAAATGTATTATTATTTAATTACAAACAATCAAATCAATTATTTATTAGGTATTATTTAGGTTAGGTGGCGATATTTGACATCACTATTTTCTGCCACTTATTTATCTGGTGAAATTATATTGTACGAAGCCACTTTTAAGACTTAAACTCTAACATTGTTATGGCATAGAATGACAACTGTGTAATTTTATTTTATACATTTTTTTTGCAATATTAATTGTCAATATTGGTAACCATGGGTGATAAAAAATTAGCAGCGGGCCACGTGCTTAACACGGCTTATATAGTACTCTATATATTATAGTTGGGCCTATGTGGCCCGGTGTCGTATATTAATTTATATATTATACCGTCGGGGGAAGTACTCTATAATTGCACCTATATGGTGTCTGGTGTCATAATATTATAATATATACACTGGTGCGTATTAAGTACCAGTTATTTATTAATAACTTAATAACCTAACCTAACTTAATAGAGTTACACGATTTTCAGGTCGAATTCAATGGCCAAAAGGACTTGATAAAGCTGTCGGGCAAAAGGGACGGTTGCAAACAGCTCGACGACGTGAAATCGTCGAGTGAAATTCAAATGGCTTTGGAAAAGATCGGATTGCCGAAGAGCTGTCCCATTAACAAGGTCTGTCGGTTACACTGTTTTAATTGATATTGTGTCGCGTGATTCGTGACGCAGGTCAGGATAATAATATTATGTTTATTATTATATTTATTCACCGTTATAATGGCGTCACGCCGTCTCCGGCACTGTATATAGGTCGTACGAGTTGTATACATTGTTATCGTTTTGCAGGGGAAGGCGTGCTTGGGAATTCAACCGATTAACGTGAGCAAGTATAAATCACTAATGAACGTACTTGCCGGCCATCTCAAGGGGAAATCGGTAACGACCACTAACGCGGGCAAGTTCTGTATAGAGTTTTCGGTAAAATTGGTCAACGCGCTCATAAAAGCCATCGGTCGCGGTGTAATTGGTTGAAATCTACTAAAACCTCACTACTCACCTATATCGCATAATATTATAATGTATAGTTGACGCCGTGTTGTGTTTTAGTGTTTACCTATATCATCATATATAATCACTAATATTAACTGTATAATAAATTAAAACATATTATATTTTGAATCTACGTAATATAATACTTGTGTGCAACACACTGCCGGCCGCCGGGAGATTGTTTTAACAACAAACACTCATCAGTCATCATCATCACGATTGAATCCTGACACGACGAAAAAGAACAACCGTAACGGTCGAGTTACGAGTTTTTCCAAAATGTCTGTGGGTACATATTATAGCAACACTGTGTTATTGAAAAACGTGTAATTTCTTAAAATTTTTTTGTTAAAGTGACTTTTAAGGTTTTTTTTAAGGACGAATCTTTTAACTGGTAAATATTTTGAGGAAATAGTTTTTTTTAAATAGGATTTTATATAAGTTTATATAACAGGATTGTAATACAGTGCAATGTATTCAGGTCCAATCAATCTAAAATGCATCTTAATAAAAAATATATTTGTTGGATATTTGGTATTATGTTCGTACATCATCGATTTTAGAAAAATATAGTGCTTAAAATTATACATTTTATATTCTAAAGGAAAAAAATTGTCATCACCAATAAAAAAAAAATTAGATAATTTTTAAAAAAAGTTTAAAACGTAGGTAAAACTTAATAAATAAAAACATGAAAAATCGAATGAGGTGAGTTTTTGAAATGATCACCTTGTGTGTATAAAATATAGGTAAAACTTGCAGGATTTGCAAAAAATTTGATTCAATGCAGTTAAAATGAATGTCTTACCAACTAAATATTTTAGATAATATGCCCCGAATTTTGTACCGTTGGTGCCGTTTTTCAACATTTTTTTTTATTATTGCTATACAGACCTTTTGCTCACTTCAACCAAAATTCTCCATACATTTCGCCATTTCGGTCAATTGCATCCTCCAATCGCTTTGACTCATCGGTATCTGAAATATCTTTCTTTACTCTGTCTAACTATCGCTGGCGAGGTCTTACCCTTGGTCGCTTTTTTGTTGGGTTTCCGATCCTAACATTTCGTATGACACTTTCACCAGCCCACCAAACGAGGACCGTTTTTCATCTACCCATGAGAAATATACAATAATTGACAGTTATTGGGGTGTCCACGAATTTTCAAAGGGAGGGGGGTGTTATTACTAATAATGCATTTAAATCAATTGTGGTGGTAATATAAATGACACAAATAAAGGGATTTATAGGACTGGGTGGGATGTAACCCTTAACCTCCCCCCTGTGCATTCACTGTAAGCAGTATACTGTTGTAAATTTGGAGTAAAAAAAAAAATTGAATGACTATTATAATTCGGTTTTTTAGAAAACAAGAGGTAGGCCAAAATTCATAAAATATACATAGGTACCTACCTAAAAAAATTCTGTCACAAAAATTATAGAAAATTATTAAAAGCACAATTTGTCAACAATTTAAGTTATTATATATTTTAATTTATTTAATTGTTCATCAAGAATGTTATCACTTATCACTGTATTAATGAAGAATGGTGTATTAGAATAACAAAATTGTGAGCAATTGACTTTGTGTAACTTTATGATTAATGAATGTTCATGACAAAACATTTTTGACATTCACATGTATTATGTACACACCTAACCTAAGGCAATCGCATTTTAAATGTCCTCAGTTCTTCAGTTCAGAAAAGTTGAAAAATCCACATACCAGGTAGAAATTTACTTTTCTTGTATACTACTACAAGTTGGTAAATAATATATTTTTATTTGAATACAAAATATGTTTTAATAATACATATATAATATATATATAACCTCTTACGCAGTTTATCTCAATCGTGTATCTAATTTTTGTAAAAACGGTTACATTTGTAGTTACAATTTACACATTTATAAATGATTTAAACTCTATCCTGCATTAAATTGGTTTGATTTATAATCGTTGTTATTTTTCTCCCTTTTTTGAAACTGCTGTATACAGATACCAGTATTTGATAAACATAGTTTTAAGAAAAATAATATATTTAGTTAGTTTTTATTTAGTTAATATATTTATATTTATATAATAAAACAAATGTAATAACCCAATGACCCATGTTGCCAAGGGTCTTTTAAATAAATAATAAAAAAAAAGACAAATGTATAATTTGAATAAAGCCAAATTAAATGGTGAACAACAATGACATTAAATTAAAGGCATTTTTCTTTACTGTGAAGAGTTTTTTACGATAGTATTCAGCAAAACGAGGACAGTTGCTATCTATTTTTTCAGTGTTTGAGCAATCATTTGGTTTATTATCCCTCGTCACTTCTAAAAAAATATATTTCATCATTTTACTTTCAAATATTTCCAAGTTACCTCTTATTATATAAGTGTATACCGTATACTTATAGAGGTACTAGATTGAGATGGGTCAAACTGTTTGAAGTTCGAAAAATCGAACAGAACTTAGGTATTCATTGTTCGGTTCAAAAGTTAGGAAATTCTAATCTTGTTTTAAAAAAACCGAACCCAACAGAAACTAGAATGAAAAGTTTGAAATTCAATAATTACTCCAAAAAAATGAACAAATTCCAAAAAAAGATTGGAACAAGTTATACGTTTCGAACAAAAAATGTTTTATATTTTATATTTAGGTTTTACATAAAACTAAAACGTTTGGGTACAGATCGATGTTGAACATATCTTTCGGTCTGAGTTTGACATAAAACTGAATTGTTCGGTTCGACATAAGATCAAAAAGTTAGGTTTGACCAACTATTAAAAGGTTCTCATTGATATCATATTTCTGAGTTCAACCCGCCTCTAACTTATATCTGTGTTTTATAATTCGATCTTTTGTTAACTTCGATGAAATTAATGCATTTCTCTTTCGTACCAAACATTTTTTTTAAATAAACATTAAGTTAAATCTTGAAGTACTTACTGCTAAATTATGATAATACGATATAATAGTATAAAACCATAGTTGGATGAGTATAAATATACCGAGTAATGGTAAAAATAGGAATATTATTATCCGAAATTTATTTCTTTTGCAACATTCCACAATATGTTCCCTCTGGTAATGTAGTAGGTAGGTAGTTATGTGTTTGATCTTTATAGTTTTTGCACGCGTACATTTTTTACGCTTTTCGAATTCCTTTACAAATAAATCATTTTCACATAATCCCTATATGTAAGTATTGTCATAGTTACCACCGAAATTGTATTATTTTACTGAAAATATTATTACATAAAGATTAAAGGTTAGTGATGGAAGTTAAATTTAGGGAATAATAATAATAAGGTATCACGCAGAAGAAAAGTCTTTTTACTGTAAATGTCTACCACCGATAAGCATTTTGGAGGAGGGTAGTAACACTAGTAACGCCTTTATAATTTTTTCCGTACAAACAGAATGACAAAGCACGCTCACCCGCGTGTTTTCTTGTAATAATACATTTATTCAAACTGATTTTTGGAATTTTTAAATATAGTTAAAGACCAAATTTTCAAATTCTTGAGATTTTTGTGTACTAATGAGTGTCTTGTAGTGATACAAACTTTTGTTTTTCAATTGAGAACCCCCCCCCCCCCCTCATTTACCTGTTAAGTGTTTATATACTAAGGATAATAATCCTTAAAAATAGTTTGTAATACACACAAAATAGACCTAATAATATTGGATAAAGTATTAATTATTATGGTTGCGCCATTTTTACAAGTTATAATTGTTGATAGATTAATACCATTCAAAAAAAATTTTTAAATTTCCATAGTCTTCATATCTTCCAAACACATGATTAATTATTAACTATCATTAATTACCTACCATTGCCTACATATTATTATTCTTAGTACACGTTAGTAAAATAACTAAAAACTACTCGTTTGAATTTTGATTTTATTACGACAAAGTTATCCACTGAATAATCTACATTCTATAATATAGAAAATAGGGGTTCCCGTTTGAACCATTTGTTCCCAAATTTCAAGAATTTGAAAATATAATCTTAAAGTGTATTTAAAAATATTAACGAAAATCATATTATATACCTACTAGGCTGAATTATTAAATTAAAAAGGAGAAGAGCAAGCTTTGTGAACCCTCCTGTAAAATATTGTACCTATATTATTATGTATGATATATTATTTACTATAAACCGTAAGGTCAATCTGTGCATTTTTGATATCCGAACATTGTTCAGGAGCATTATATATAAAGGTTTTTTAGCGCTTGCCAATATTCATTGTTTTACCTACAACTATTATTAATTATTATACATAACATAAACATTAAACACGAACATGACGTGTATTATGAGTATACAATATTGTTGCCGATCACGGCCAAGGGCGGCATTTTGCTTCGGTCAGTGCCCGGAGAAAGAGGCCACCATCCCCGACCTGGGCATGGCAAATACGGGTGCCGGTTGCCTGTTCGACGGTCATGTGTTCGATAAGTCATGTGTTTGAAAGATTATTTGTTAGAATTTAAAAACAAAACTGCTAAACTAATTGGATTTAGAACTTGGTCTGATAACGGAAAACAGCTTAGGTTTTTCATATTGTATGACTGTATGAGCAATCGATTAGCAATCGATAAGTATAACAATATGCGTTATGCCTTATGCAATTATACTATACATGTTAACATTTTATCTAAAATACGTTATAGTTGACAGGAGACAGGAACATAGTCAGTACAGTACGACATACCCAATTGAACTATGAGCTTTTAAAAATGAATATAGACATTTTAAATAGTATTCATGGTGGTGTAGTTTAAAGTATTAATAATATTATTTATGCATAAAAAATAAAGACTACATTAGAAAAATAGACAATCAACATATTTTTTATTGGACTTGTGTAAAACAATGTGGTGCAAAAATTCGGACTTTTTCTGAAAACAATGTACATTATATTGACAAAAATTGTATTTTTTCTGAAAATGACCATTTGCACGGAGCTGATCCA